CCTCTTTTCGCGATTAGAGCCATATTTACGGAGATATAACGATTTAAAGGTTTGGAAGGCCCACCAGCCGACAAATAAAAGATTTTGTAATATTATATACTGTTAAATCCGGGTATGAAAATTTCGAGCATCTGAACGCCCCTCTTTTCGCGATTAGAGCCATATTTACGGAGATATAACGATTTAAAGGTTTGGAAGGCCCACCAGCCGACAAATAAAAGATTTTGTAATATTATATACTGTTAAATCCGGGTATGAAAATTTCGAGCATCTGAACACCCCTCTTTTCGCGATTAGAGCCATATTTACGGAGATATAACGATTTAAAGGTTTGGAAGGCCCACCAGCCGACAAATAAAAGATTTTGTAATATTATATACTGTTGAATCCGGGTATGAAAATTTCGAGCATCTGAACACCCCTCTTTTTGCGATTAGAGCCATATTTACGGAGATATAACGATTTAAAGGTTTGGAAGGCCCACCAGCCGACAAATAAAATATTTTGTAATATTATATACTGTTAAATCCGGGTATGAAAATTTCGAGCATCTGAACACCCCTCTTTTCGCGATTAGAGCCATATTTACGGAGATATAACGATTTAAAGGTTTGGAAGGCCCACCAGCCGACAAATAAAAGATTTTGTAATATTATATACTGTTGAATCCGGGTATGAAAATTTCGAGCATCTGAACACCCCTCTTTTTGCGATTAGAGCCATATTTACGGAGATATAACGATTTAAAGGTTTGGAAGGCCCACCAGCCGACAAATAAAAGATTTTGTAATATTATATACTGTTAAATCCGGGTATGAAAATTTCGAGCATCTGAACACCCCTCTTTTCGCGATTAGAGCCATATTTACGGAGATATAACGATTTAAAGGTTTGGAAGGCCCACCAGCCGACAAATAAAAGATTTTGTAATATTATATACTGTTAAATCCGGGTATGAAAGTTTCGAGCATCTGAACACCCCTCTTTTCGCGATTAGAGCCATATTTACGGAGATATAACGATTTAAAGGTTTGGAAGGCCCACCAGCTGACAAATAAAAGATTTTGTAATATTGAATACTGTTAAATCCGGGTATGAAAATTTCGAGCATCTGAACACCCCTCTTTTCGCGATTAGAGCCATATTTACGGAGATATAACGATTTAAAGGTTTGGAAGGCCCACCAGCCGACAAATAAAAGATTTTGTAATATTATATACTGTTAAATCCGGGTATGAAAGTTTCGAGCATCTGAACACCCCTCTTTTTGCGATTAGAGCCATATTTACGGAGATATAACGATTTAAAGGTTTGGAAGGCCCACCAGCCGACAAATAAAAGATTTTGTAATATTATATACTGTTAAATCCGGGTATGAAAATTTCGAGCATCTGAACACCCCTCTTTTCGCGATTAGAGCCATATTTACGGAGATATAACGATTTAAAGGTTTGGAAGGCCCACCAGCCGACAAATAAAGGATTTTGTAATATTATATACTGTTAAATCCGGGTATGAAAATTTCGAGCATCTGAACACCCCTCTTTTCGCGATTAGAGCCATATTTACGGATATATAACGATTTAAAGGTTTGGAAGGCTTACCAGCCGACAAATAAAAGATTTTGTAATATTATATACTGTTGAATCCGGGTATGAAAATTTCGAGCATCTGAACACCCCTCTTTTTGCGATTAGAGCCATATTTACGGAGATATAACGATTTAAAGGTTTGGAAGGCCCACCAGCCGACAAATAAAAGATTTTGTAATATTATATACTGTTAAATCCGGGTATGAAAATTTCGAGCATCTGAACACCCCTCTTTTCGCGATTAGAGCCATATTTACGGAGATATAACGATTTAAAGGTTTGGAAGGCCCACCAGCCGACAAATAAAAAATTTTGTAATATTATATACTGTTAAATCCGGGTATGAAAATTTCGAGCATCTGAACACCCCTCTTTTCGCGATTAGAGCCATATTTACGGAGATATAACGATTTAAAGGTTTGGAAGGCCCACCAGCCGACAAATAAAAGATTTTGTAATATTATATACTGTTAAATCCGGGTATAAAAATTTCGAGCATCTGAACACCCCTCTTTTTGCGATTAGAGCCATATTTACGGAGATATAACGATTTAAAGGTTTGGAAGGCCCACCAGCCGACAAATAAAAGATTTTGTAATATTATATACTGTTAAATCCGGGTATGAAAATTTCGAGCATCTGAACACCCCTCTTTTCGCGATTAGAGCCATATTTACGGAGATATAACGATTTAAAGGTTTGGAAGGCCCACCAGCCGACAAATAAAAGATTTTGTAATATTATATACTGTTAAATCCGGGTATGAAAATTTCGAGCATCTGAACACCCCTCTTTTTGCGATTAGAGCCATATTTACGGAGATATAACGATTTAAAGGTTTGGAAGGCCCACCAGTCGACAAATAAAAGATTTTGTAATATTATATACTGTTAAATCCGGGTATGAAAATTTCGAGCATCTGAACACCCCTCTTTTCGCGATTAGAGCCATATTTATGGAGATATATCGATTTTAAGGTTTGGGACGCTAACGGTTGTAGTAGTAACATTACGTTTACTCTTTCGATTGTGGTTTAACATTGATTTAACATTTCAATTGATTTGCCACCTGGCTCTTCATCTTTGTTTAATTTTTGAACAGTTAAAAGAACTAAGCGCATACATAAATGTAACGGTCAAGTATGGTCCTACGTCAAACTTCAGTATGGTTTGGACCCTAAGAAATTCATAAAAATGTAAAAGCGTAGGTTTCACAAGAATTTATAGAATTAGGTATATTTTTTTTATATAATCTAAAAAAAGGGCTTTTTTTTTCGAAAAACTCAAATTTGAAGCCTCCAAACATCATTTCCCAGAGTCTAACCTATAATTTTGAGCGTGAGCCCCTAGGTTTCATGACAAAATGCTATTTTGGGACACCCTACCGTGCAGTATGTTGCGCAACACATTTTTGGTTTACCGGTATAGTTTCAAGTGCGCATGTGCTCTATTTCGCTCGCTCACTTTTCCAGTCTCGTAGTCAGTTCACTCGCTTTATCTCACATGTCACTTTCAAGGAAAGAATCTAAAGCAATATGGTCAGGATTTGATCAATATGATTTTCTGAGTGAAAAGTACAATATCTCTTTGCATACGTTTGGAAGAGTCGTATAAATCATAGCTGTATAGCAACCGTCATCGGCTATTGCCTTGCCACAGTGTCGCGAAGTGATGTAGTGAACAGTATGATTGTTGTTATGTCTTCCATAACGTTATGCATGATAGCCTAATCAGTCAACGAAGGCCATGATAAGGGGAGTGTTGCCGAACAATCTCCTCATCCCAAAAACGAGGGGGCAAATGTTGATTTCGTGCATGCGACACAATAAAGCAAAGACTGCTTGACAGATGCAGAGAGGTATGTGTGAATGAATGTACATGTGAAGATGTATGAAATATCCTGGTATGTATGGCGACACTGCCCGCTCACTACCCGAAAGTGGATTCGTAGGTGGTATTGGTTCATTCAATTCAGAACATGTGCCAATGAAACCGAAACTCGCGCTCGCGCTCGCCTTTGTTTACAATTTTACTCAAGTGAGATGCATCCACGCAACATATTTGATTCTTTGCGGGTCGGAATGGTATAGTGATCTCGATATCTTCTCTGAATAAAAACTCCAAGGTAGACCGGTAGACGTCGGAATGTTTTGAAGGCTGATAAATAAGTTAACTAAGCATGTTTGTTTGGGGGCATGTTGGAACTATTGTTATTGTTACTCATGCGACTACAGAATTGACATTTATTAGGATGTACACACAGAGATTATTTTACTGGGGTCAGTAATTTTTTACTGGGTTTTCAAACAGCTGAAACAGTCAGTAAACTGAAAATAACGGTCACACGTAATGCAACGAACAATTTTAACATATTTTATTTTTATCATCAAATAAATGTAATAAGAACACAGTTTGTATAAATTTCAAGAAAAAATCACTTTTACACACTTTTACACAATTTTTTACAATTTTTTTAAGTTTACTGACTTTTTCAGCTGTTCAAAAACCCAGTAAAAAATTACCGAACAGGGAGGCCGTGATTTTGTGTGTAGCATACACCCAAAACGAGAAATGTTTGCATAAAAAGAATAAACAATTTGTAATGTATCTCCGCATAAACATGTAGTCGATGGAAGGTTTTTTTAAAAATAATTTTGTAATTTATTTGAGCCAAAAGCATTGCGGTCCATTGTAAGTATACTGTCATTACATTGTTTGTAAAAAAAAATCCACAGAAATCCACACTTTCATTTGATGTTCATATACAACAATCCTCGAATGGATGACGTTACGCGAAGTTTGAACTTTTAAACTGCCGCTGTATATGGCACGGAGCGCCGGTTTGTGTGTATGTTTAGCGGTAGAAGAACACGACAATCTCGTATGTTTTGCCTGCAGCTTGCAGCACTCATTGTCGTGAGAAAGTCGCATAGGATGTGAGTCTATACTGTATATACGGTATATACGTACAACTCGGTTGTGTTCTCAGTGACGACAATTTTGGTCGGTGGTAGCAAGAACCCTAGCGAGCAGTTGTCGGTTGTCTTCGATCAAACAAGACTCGCTCTGTTCGTTTCTACGGTTGCACACAGTAGGTCAAGTGAAGCGTATACGACGGCGGAAACACAAAATTTTCCTTCGGAGTGTCACGGCAGTGGAAAAGTGCTGTAAGTTTTCCAAGTGAGGCTAATATATTTCAAATCACGTGCTCACTGTCGTAGTAGACATTTGCGGGAACCGCGTGCTATTGTTTTCTTTTTGTGCTTTGTTACGTTTTTGGAGGTGACTTTTTCACAGCGATTGGTAGTGCATTAAAGGTATCATCATCTTGCCGTCATGATGTGAGGTTTTTTTTAAAGAATCAAATGGAAAATGTTCGGAGTCTGAGTGAAAAGTAATGTGTGTGTCTATCTTTTCTCAGTATAATATGTGAGAAATTAGTTCCGCCTTTGTTGCACAAGAGTGCTGGTTATACAAGCTCACGGATCGAACCAAAAATGTGATCGTTCTATATTTAAACGCGGCTTAGAATCGGTGATAATAGACGGATGTCTGTTCGTGTCGCAAAGTAAGAAGTGAAACTCGTTTCACAATGTATGTACAAACAAAATGAAAATAATATCAACCATCGACCAAATGCAGAGTATTAACTTTCAAAATAAAACCACAGTCTGTCGGAACAGTAAAAGTTTGAGCCTTTTTTTTTCTTTTGGTTTGAGAGAATTTGCAGCACAAAAAAAGTGATCCGCCATTCAGGAATTGTTGTTTCGCGTTGGTTGCATTTTGCCGGAATTTGCATTCTGGTTTAGCTCATAACTTCTTCATGTATGGAAAGCTGCTGTACTCCATTTTTATCGAGTTTATACCGCTACAGTGTGTGATAAAGTATAAAAACAACGATATGTACCTCATCGTACTGTACGCACACTCACTTCCAAACCAGATCCGGCACTTACCGTTTATGAATGACTTCAAACCAACACAAGTGAAGTCGTAAATCAAGAATATCAATCTTCTTACCTGAACTTTAAGGTTACAGGTTTCCCCTTACGCAGGAAGTGTAAGAAAGAAAACAAAAATGCTAAGCTAGAGCTTTGCGCAACATAATGCGTACGTAATGCTAATGCGAAGCTTGCGGAATGCGTTGCTCGGTATCGAATGGGAATTATAACGAATGCGATAAGATACATTAATTATGATTATTCGACTATTTTTGAACGCTGACGACCGGTTTCTACTACACGGCCGATGAAATCGACTCAAAATCGCATAAACGTTGGTTACTCATAGACTGATTAAAATTTTCTTCGCAAGTAACCTACGTTTTTTGCGAATTTGTGTGAACGAAATTTTATTTGGTTTAATCGGCCGTGTAGCAGTACGGCTCAATTCTATCAAGTATAGACTTACTAATCTGATGCATCAACAATGATTTATTGCCGATAGATTCGTCACAGGCAGCCACATGGCAGTGCGTCCACGTGCTTTCCTATGGACGGTAACCGCAAAATAACCAATAATGACTACAAAGTAAGCATTTTCGGGGAAAACTGGGACTATTCATTAAATGAGTAATTTTTTTAAGTTAGTAAAAAAAAAGTAGCAAGTATTCATTTGTGAGTAACAAATACTCATAATTGAGTAAATTTTTACTCATTCGATCGATAGTCATTATTGCGTATTTTGTCGTTACCGTGTGAGTAATTACATTGAAAGCCAATTGCAATGTACGACCAAGCGTGAAAATGGTAAAGCAAAAAGAGTTGAATTTTGTATGATATTGGGTAGAGAGCAGAAAATCAAAATTTGTCTCGAAGATTTCCTTTGCCTGCTTTTCTCATCGCCAAATATCTTATTTGCCCATATTAAGCTTTCCAATTTGGTATTTTTCTAGACGTTTTGGTACAAGCGTGTTTCTTTACAGGTTAAATATGTTGATCCCCTGTCGTATAGACATCTCTCGCAATCTATAACGGCTCGATAAGAACTGTGCTACCCTTGTTGAATGATTGGTTTGGCGTGAGTGAACCACGAGTACATAGAGAGTAATGAACGGGAGATGTTTGATAGTTGATTTTTATTTTATTGTTTCTATATTTTTTTATCTAGTACGTTTATTTGTAAGGCTCAATCGCGTTAGCTTTACGGAGCCGATAGTTCATTGTTCTTTGTTTGTAACAAAATTCACTTAATTCTGTGTCTAGTAGGAGTTGGGCCGAATACTCGCGGCTTACCCGAGGTTAGAGGGGTACATTTTCGAAGGATAGGATCAGGTGAGGAGCTTAGGGGTGGGGTTCCGTTGTCTCATCAGAACGTTGTCGCCGGTATGAACAGTAGTGCGGTTCTAGATTCGTCTGGAGTTCAACCGGCTATGGTGACCAGTAGGCGACGATGAGACTCATCGAGACGTGGTACAAGACAAACAAAAATTAAGAGAAACCAAAAGCAAAGGATTTAAATTCTTATACTCAGCGTTGGAAAAGATCGCGATATTTCACGATGCTCACAAAGGGAAAAGTTCGCGAGTCATAGTGAGTTTTGGTGAACTTTTCCAACACTGCTTATACTAGACATTTGCTGAAACACATAAATCGACTGCATATAGCAGAGGCGCGGGTTGCCAACACGTCTCTTATAGGAACATAGGATTGTCTTCCTTGGACCTCGAGGGTATTTAAAAGTCGCTCTCTGGCGGCGTCATTATCCGTACATTGCCAAACTGCGTGATCGATGTCATGGAAACCGTTTCCACACCCACAGATGTTGCTGTCCACGTGGTTTATTCTACAGAGATGCACATCTAGCAAGTACTGGTTGGACATAAGTCTACTCATCACGCGAATGAAGTCACGGCTTAAGTCCAAGCCTTTAAGCACTAAATGGTAATATTCATCGTGTGTCATTAAATTCGCCTTCCTGCACGCCCACCTTTGCGAGAGAGTCCGCCTTCTCATTGTCTGTGATTGAGCAATGTGAGGGGACCCATACAAAGGTAATCATATATGATCTTTCGAACAGCACACTCATCTGCTCCCTTACCTTTGAAAGGAAATAAGATGAGTGCCTACCTGGTTTCATCGACCGAATAGCTTCAATCGAACTGAGACTATCCGAGAAGATAAAGTAATGGTCTGCGGGCATGTTGGAAATCATTCCCAATGCGAAGTTGATTGCTGCCAGCTCAGCAACAAAAACGGAACAAGGTTCCTGGAGTGTGCGGAAGCCGCTAGAGTTTTCATCCGTCTGTAAAATATCATTTCATGCAATTGACATGTTGGTACTTTTCAGTGATCGGGAATCCCATGAGTTTCTTGTGTCATGGTAGGATCATATTCCATTCAGGAACTGCGATTGGTGAAGTGAGCACGGTCTTGAGTGTAACAAGGAAGACACATATCTGACGATATGTAGTGGTGGTAGATTCTCATAAATCGAGATTGTGTGTTCAGTCCAAGAATTTCTTCAAAATTTGCAATTATAAGTGTGGTCGTCACTCCGCATTTGATCATTATTCTGAGAGAGAGAGAGCTCCCAGAAACCTGCCAAAACCTCGAGATTCATGTTATGCGTTGAGGGCATACAGCCGAGAGCAAAACGCAGACAACTACTAATTTGAATTCTGTGCAAAATGCCTCTGTGAAGACCGCGCCCAGAAAAAGCAAGTAATAGCATAGAGGTAACTCTAAGACAAGAAGGTCCCAAAGAAACGTGCTCAACTTTTTGGCTCAGCTCCGGTACTATCTTCAGTCCCAAGCTAATCGATGCACCCCTCGAAAGATAGTAAAATCCACGAGCCCCTGATTTTATCTGTCAAAATTTCATAACAAATCAAAACAAACATAGTGTAGTACTAGAATTTCGACTAGAATGGGGTACGTTTTTTTAGTTAATAAAATTTCTCGAAGTGACAATCGCAATCAACGAAAGATTGGAACCTTATCTTTAAATGTGATTATTGGTAACTTTTTTTTTATTGTTTTCAAGTCACTATCTTCGTTATCACCTATCATATTACAAACCCACTATTAACAACTCAGCGCATTGTGGATTTTGACCTAAGTTAGTAACTAGCCACTTCCATGGGGGCACCCGGACCAATTCCAGATGTGGTCAATGTGGTCCAGGGCATTCAGTATAACCACCATCGAAATTGTTTTCGAATTTTGCTGTGATGGTGTCGCTTTACATCGACCACATTGGCACATCCGGTTATGTTCCGGGTGCACCCGGGGAAGTACCCAGTTCTGACTTTCCAGTTGCTACGTACCGAATGACAAACATTCAAAAACAGGTTCAACGGAAGTAATATTGAGTTCTCAGAACCACATTAGTCACATCTGGACTTGTTCCAGATATCTCCAAGGAAGTAGCCATTTTTTGTCTTGGATCAAACCCATCATGCGACACATTACATAACATCAGAACTCGAAAACCAGTTCAATTTTAGTCATTTCTAATGCCCAGGGTAACATCCCTACATGTTCCAGGTACTCCAGAGGAAGGGACCAGTTTCTGGTTAGGTCCAAAAGCCATAATGCGACACCTCAAATCGCATGAGTATTCAAAAACAAGCTCAATCGTAGTTGTATCACCAGTTGGAAACTAACGATTTAAAATTGGCTCACTACTTGGTCCCAAGCAAATCGATTAACGTACCCCATTCTAATCAAAATTCTAGTACTACACTATGTTTGTTTTGATTCGCTATGAAAGTGTGGCAGATAAAATGAGGAGTTCGTGGATTTTCCTATGCTTCGAGGGGTGCATCGATTAGCTTGGGATCGAAGAGAGTACCAGAGCTGAGCCAAAAAGTTGAGCACGTTTCTTCGTTGTGAATACTAACGACAGACTCCTCTGTCGCATCCGCCTTCCATTTCAGCAACCAGCCGATCTTTTCAGAAATTAATTCTGAATGATTACACTTGAAGAGTACGTCCGTTCTCTTCTACGTACGTCCAAAAACTGACTCGTTTCGGATAAATTGTGGCATGACCTGGAGCTGGAGGGCTGGAGGAAGCCGTGTCTCGTACCGATCGATACTCTCTTTCACATTTATATGCAGCGTTGCCAGGTCATTTTCAGAAAAATCTGGAACAGTTAAAATCTGGAAAAATCTGGAATGCTTAAAAAAATCAATTTTTAACATAATGCTATTGACATCAATGTGATGTGCCAATCTCCCGTAAAAATCGGTCAGTATGATCATCTGGAATTTATTTAAAGTAATAGAATGGTTATGAATTACATGTTTAAATAAATTATATAAAGCAAATAACTTGCCAGCATTGCTGAAATCATCCAAAAGTTGAAACACTGATAAATTGAACTATCCCCATTTTGCTTGAAATTTAATCAATTTGACATTAAGCTCAGTTTAATCATATCGAATGATTAAAAATTAATCCTCTCTATCTAAAAAATAAGCATCTGATAGTAATCCCAGTTTAATCATGGTTGATTAGATTGTAGATTATCTTTTTTTGAATAAAATTTAATCATTTTTGATTCTATTTTAATCATTTTTGATTGCATTTTAATCTCTTTTGATTATATATCAGTATTGAAAAA